TTTCTTTGACACAGAAAACCCTATGAAAGTCGGAAGAACTTCGAAAAGGACCGACCATCTGGGCTCTCCTTGGAATGCTGTAGAGAACCACCACCTGCGAACTCCGTATATAAGCGCCCGAGCCTGACACTCGTCCGATCATTTTTCATACATATTTTGATGCTTTATATTTTATAGTGAAATCTATTTGCTCGTTTAATTACCCAAGTTTGAGGTACCTAATAATGGTGGCGATTGGTATAATAAAATTGGTGTTATCCTTATCGTGTGGTCCTGTTGTTAGACGAAACTTATCGCCTATACTTGCTCATCTATCGCGGCGTAGTCTTTACGAATTTATTTCCTTCACAAGACTTACCAAATTCTAGTACTACACAGGTATGGTTCTCAATTTACACGTCCCCCTTTCGCTTGAAAGAAGCCTTGTAACCGCCTTCGCCAGCTGTGTGTTGACTGGACTTTGGCGTTGACCGTGGAGCAGCTTATTTACTATTGAAATTTGAACAAATATTCAAATGATTATAACTTTCTTCAAATATGACGAATTTTCAATCTGAAAGCAGATTTGGAGGTAGTAGTACCCAGTTGCAGAGCAGAAAGTTGTTTACAAGATGACGTATACTGGAAGTTGAAGAGCGCGTTCCAATCCATTGAAACACTCCCAGAAAATTCTCCCACGGGAACGTGGTGTGCGGTATGAACCATCGAGTACCTGGACGGATCGTGGGATTGAGCGTAACGGTGAAGGCAGGTGACGTCATATTTTAAGGACGGTGAGGGTTGCGAAGAAGGGCCTGCTTCTACTTATTGGGGGACCTCTGGATATTTGCCGTAGTTTCATCAACAGCGCATCCTGTGCGACGAAAGTTTGATGATGTGCGCCATAGGCAAAGTACTCTTTTTTTGACCTCCCCTGTCGTACACACAAATTGAGCTTAACGGTGAAGGCAGATGACCTCACATCTCAAGGATACGCCATCTTAATAGTTTATATGATAGGAAAATCTTCAAAGACCCATCTGAATTTATGGAAAAAATGTAAAATGCCACTCCTCACCACTCACCCCTTACCCACTACCTAACCGAACGGTATTTATACATTCCGAAGGGTATTTATACATTCGCCTCAAATCTAATGTGTATCTCGCTGTTCCAAACAATTATCTACTACCGTCTATTACCTGCCAATGTCAGTGTATTGGCTGTATTGAACATCTTCACCGCCTCTGTCGATGACTTCAAAGACAACAAATGGGCGTTCATCGGGGCCGAAAATCTGAAAAAAAAAGCATTGAAAGCAGGACCTCAACAATTTCTTCTAAGCTTCACCAGGTTTGGCGTTCCGATGGAACTTCTGAATGCACTCTCACTGCATTGCAACAGTTCATATCTGCGTTTATCTGGTAACATTTTCCCTGTCGCTCTCAAAACGAAAATGGGGGGGGGGGCAGCAAATTCTGACTAAGGCAAAGTCCGGGATCGAACTGATGTGTTATTGCGCTTGCAAATGATAATGGGGATATGAAGTGTAACGCTAGCAATAGAGAAACGAGAAGAAACCGTCGGTAAGGTCAAAAATAAAATCCTTAGCAGCGAAGCGAAAGAGCACTGATTTGTGGGCGGGGTACTGCCTCTCGTATCGGCATTGTCAAGTCATCGGAAAAGTTGACTAGGTGTTCTTACGTTTGCGTACCGCTGTACCTTTCTTGGGAAAAGTTTAATTTCGACCATAAATCTGGCACCTCGCCTTCAACGTCTAACGCATCAGACCTTCTAAAACTGTCTCAACAAGGAACAACAGCGCAAGCACTTTCCTCGTTTTTTGTTGGTAGTAGATGCACCACACGAAGTCAAGCCTGAGTTTCTCTGTCCCCAAGGTAGTGCTGCTTCTGCCAGTCGCACGATGTTTTGGCCGGGCTAGTGCTGAATTCAATAGTGCACGGGTAGTGACCATAGGAAGAGCTCCAGGACAGGAAGACCGATATCAGTGTGAATAACGGTCAAGGAATTCCTCGACTATGGCTCTCTACTGTGCGAGAGTAGTGTGAGAGTGAACATCCGCGTGTGAGGGCGCGAAAGAAATACTCGATGAGCCGTTATCTTTTCCTCGAGCGATTTTCACCCTGACCGATACACGTTTTGTACACTCATTTCACTTTCGCGTGCATTTTATGTTTCACGTTATCCCTTAAGTGAAATAAGCTGCTTGGATGCGATAAAAGCAACACGGCCCTCGGCAGAAGCCACTCAATAAAAGTAGCCATTTCCCAACCACATAATCTCGAGAGGAGCCAAGGCATCAGGCACAGGCTACTGCGTTGTGCTCAGCCGATAAATACTTGAAACCCTCCCCCATGTTCCATATGCCCATACGTTCTCCCTGCACCACACACAGTCGAAAATCGCACCCATCCGCACTTCGCCTCCTTTTCCCTTCCACCGCCAGATTGTCCAAACGGACGGTTAGCAATTTGGGCCGTGGATCAATCGTGCACACTCTTTATTCCGATTCGCATCACACTTTTTATAAAAGCATGCTCGTACTAGTAGACAGCCCGTGGAGATGAGTAAAGCGTTAAGTCTAGAGGATAGTTCATTTTGTTTCTCAAGAAAACCGAAGCAAGCCTCATAATATGTCAATAGGTGCCAGAAGGGTAGCTTAAAGGTGGCAAAATGGATGTTCATGCACTGGAGAGTTGGGCAAAATAAAAGGGCATTGAAGTATGCATTTCAAAGACACGTAAAAATCTTCTGTTTATTAAAAATTGGACTAGGCGTTAGGAGGCTCAGTCTTAGAGGATGCCCCATACTCTACGATAGCGCCGAGAGATGAGTAGTGGAGAGGGAAACCGAAAAGGGATCGTAGTCCGAAAACCCTATGTAGCAATTTTGAGGTGTAGTTTGCTCATTAGACGGACGGCGCTCGTGTGGTTAAACCTAACTTTTTAGCCCTTCCACCCGCGGGAGGGAATCATAACAACGCATCACCTTAGATGCGACACTTGTCACTACCGTTTGATTTCCATTGCAAAAAGTATTTTAGAGTGAGTTGAATTGGCTCTCAAATTTTTAACCGCTAGCTACCAGCATGCCAACTACGGACACAAACAACTCGTCCGGCGGGAATCACCATATCTCAGCCGTAAACTCGTCAAAGATTGGTTTAAAGAGAAGAAAAGAGTCTCATTCTTCGAGTTCCTGATGATTTCCTTTATTTTGTTTCCAACAACCCACTATTCATCATAGCTACTTTCGTTTTTCATCAGCAAAAAGTATCACCACTGCTGTCCTCAAAATAGGCCTCGGCATCGTTCATTCAAGTGACACAAGACTGGCGCAATAGCAGTCTCACTGCAGCAATGTCCGCTCATTGCTGATCAGTACCACAAAACTTTACCTCTTGACGCTTAATAAACTTGAGCAAATCGAAAATCACTGATTACTGCTCCAAAATATTTTCCTATTGTCCTTGCTAGGGACTCGATGAATGAGGTCTACAAGGAAAAAATTCTTATCAGGAAATTTCATACATCTTCTCGTAGGTTATTCGTTGCATCAAGAAATGGCCTTCAGGTCTCCTGGCCACATGTGCTTTGCTGCCATCGAGAAATTGAAAGGAAAAACTATAAGGCTTTCGGTGTTATCTTCTTAGAGTGCGCTACGCATTATACTTCCTTTCAGAGTTGTGGTGGAATTTGATATATACATATGGCCTACATAATGCCTTGCGAGAGCTACCCGATGATATCGCTAGGGTTTTTCCTACCTACTAAGTCTGATTACCAATTTATGTACAAACTCGGGAACGGAAGCCCTGGGTAACTCGATCCAAGATTTGACCTTTGAACTGTGCTGGGGTATAGGCCACCACTTTCCAACTAACCGCCCCCGACCCAACGAACGTTACTCAAATAACCTCGAAAGAACACCCCTAGATCAAATTGTGGGGTCACAGATAATGGTGTTGTATACGCCGAGTTGACTGACTAAAAATGAAAAGAAGCAAAGAAAACCGTCGATGAAGCCCTAAACAAAACTCGAAATAAGGAAGGGGCGGGGCCAGACGAGTTGTACGAACTTGCCTGCTCCACGGCTCAACTAACCCGCGCGTATTTGAATTAGCCGCTACGCCGTAATCCACGTTGCGTGTCATGGGTGTGCGCGACGTAACTCGTCCAAACGTTAAGATTAGTCGCCATAAGTTCACTTTGTAAGAACCTAGTGCCTTTGAGCCGCAACAACGGCACATCTGTGATACTCCTGAGCTACTCGAACCCACCCGCTGAACAGATTTTTCGACACTGCATCTGCTGGGAGTATTGTTTTGAGTTTCCAATCTTCACTTCTCGTCCTTTCTGCGCATGCGTTCGTGGTTTGAAGCACCCGTAGACGGGCTGAGCAAAGCAACAGCAACAACCCCAATAGAAGTCGTGTCGAAGAATCTATTCTGGGTGGGATAAGTGGGCGTGGGCTTACGAGTATCACAGATGGCCCTTGCTCCAGGTCGACCTCCATCCGTTCAGCAAGGGATGTGCACGTAAATGACAGCATTTCATTGTTCATATAGTACAAATGCGCCGAGTAAAACGTCTCGCTGTGGAAGGTAAAGTGGATAGAAACTAAGGCAGGGTAGAGCGTACTTACCGAAAACCAGCCACACCGTGAGCGATTAGCCTATTAAGATAATCAGCCATTACTTTCCTGACATGAGGGCGACTTTGGTCCAGGTCGAGCAGAGATGTGAGGCGACAATTTCTCACCTGCGTTTAAACAAGTTTTTAAGTAGTTAGTAAGATTCAATAAGTAAACATCAAATTAGTTCTTCCCATTCCTAATATTGATCGTCTTGTTGAAAGCAGTGAACACGACGGCTGAACGGCTGAGGGATTTGATGGCATTAATGGGCGTGGTAGAAGGACGTAGCTAAGCGGTCCTAGCCACAATTCCAGCCGGCATTTAGTCCACTTCTAGCCACGTTACCGACCCACCCCCACCCCCCTGCTTCGCTTCAGACACATTGTGTTCACTGCCAATGATGGAACAGGTCTTACAATATTTCTATTGCCATAATCGTCGCCCTCAATTCCCTTTGTGCAGCGGTAATCATTGGAATCATTCTTCGAATATGGGACCTAAATTATAGCCGTTATTTGGTGATTTCAAATATTTGGGCAGTGAGCCTCACATCAGGAAAGTATTCCACATCTTCGTGACTGTCGAAGGTGCTGTTGGCACTGGAACTGCGTCCATCTACTCCCGATTTTTGATTCACGCCTAGCATGTGATTGAGAACGACATCCACTATTATTCTGAAATTGAGTAGAGTTTTCTTTCAAAAAGTCATTTTTAGAAGATGAAAGCTGTTTCTAGGTGGAAATCGGACTTTTTGCAAGCGCAATAACACCGAGGGGATTCATGATTACGGTAAGTCTCAGGCACAAGAAGTCATCATGTGACTTTGTTTCCATAGTG